GGTGCCGTCAGTCAGACAGTGCCGGCTGGCGACCCCCAGGGGGAGGGCCTTCTCTGTTGGAGCCCCCTCCCTATGGAACGAATTACCCCCAGAGATCCGGGTCATTCCGGATCTTCCCTCCTTCCGCCGCGCCCTCAAGACATGGCTATTCCAGCTAGCGGGACTGGCCTAAGGGATATTTTAATTTGATTTTAATTCGGTTTTAATTTGGTTTTTAACATAATTTTAAAAAGAAATGGCAAAAAAATCAATATTTCATTTTAATTGTATTTTAAACTTAGTATTTTGTATGGTTTGTCTGTTTTTTAACTTGCTGTAAGCCGCCCTGAGTCCGCCAGGAGAAGGGCGGGGTATAAATTTAATAAAACCTAAACCTAAACCTAAAACTTGCTGTGTTCTACTTTATGGGAACAGGTGCCAATCTGACTTCACTATTTAAAAAGGAATCAAGGAATACTAAAGAAAAATTATGGGTCAGTTAATTTCACACCTGTTCCGAAGAAGAATGGTTGAAAGTATTGTTAGAATTTAAAAAAAAAAATATGTAGAAGACTTACTGAAAAGAAATCAGCATGATTTTCAGAAAGATTAGTCTTTTTCATTGATTTTCTAGACTATTTTAGGATGTAAGCAAGTGCGGGGACAAGGCTGATTCCATAAGTAACTTTATACCTGGATTATAAATAAAGTCTTTGATACAGAATTATTGTGAACATGTTTGGTGGTGATTTTAAAGATTTGTGTGCCAATATCTTTTTAAACTTTACATTGAAGTACAAAGGGAGTTCTCCACAGCCGGTAAATGGGCTTCAAAATGGCAAATGTACTTCAGTGTAAATAAGTGTAAAATGAAATTGGCACACAAATCCAAACTTTACTTGTATATTTATTGGATCCTAGTTGACAGAGGCTGACCAGAAAAGGGATCTTGAAATTACAGTGGAGAGCTCAGTAAAAAAAAATCAGTCCAATGTGAGCTGCTGTTAAAAAAAATAGAGTGAATGAATTTCATGCAAGGAATCATTAGGAAGAGAATTGAAAGTAGAATTGTTGATACAATAAAGAGCAAAAAATATCAGTCCATATGATAGAGGGGCTAGAGATATCAGCAATTAAGAGTTATTTAGCTTGGAAGAAAGGGTGTAAGATTATTGGACTTCTTCCATCAAAACCCATTTCTAATTGATGATGATGCTGGGTCCACCAGTGGTTAATGGTATAGAAACAGACACACTGCATTGATTGATGTATTTCAGGGTTGAATGCAATGCAATTGCAGAATCTAGCTGCATTAGCAGCCGCAGCTAGCGCAGCTCAGAATACCCCAAGTGGAACAACTGCACTCAACTCTTCCAATAGTCCATTAAGTGTTCTCACCAGTTCAGGTAAGGGAATTGTTTTATTTATTTGTTTTTTGATTAATTAACCTATTTTTGCCTCTTTGCATACATAACAGTAGAACCAGTTGCCATGATTTAATTATTAAACCTTGCCCTTTATGAAGATAAAAATTACATCCCAAAACATGTGAAAAAAACAAGGAAGTAGGTGCTTCTGATTTGCTGAATAGTTATGTCATTTTGCTACGTAATTACAGGTGTATAGCAATAGCAATAGCTCTTAGACTTATACACTGCTTCACAGTGCTTTACAGC